TCAAAGTAGAAGTTGTAAGAGGAGAAAGGGCTCTTGGCAGTTAGACAGCAGCTTTTAATGCATCTGTTGCCCTATTAAGTCTGTGTAAGCTTATTTAAAGTTATCAGGCTGATATGAAGAAAAGTTTTTGTTTGGGATTGGAGATAGAATTTTCAGAGAAATCCAAATAGTTTAATTATCAGTCACAGTGCTCTGGGCATTTGGGGTAAGAATATGCCAAGCTGTGGCCTCTACTTATTTTTTATTACTATGTCAGATATCTGTGATCACCCAGATTATGGGAAAGTGCACAGCACACCCCCAGGGAAGAAATCACCTACAGCTTAGACTTCATCTGACAAATGCAAACAATTTAACCTAACCATTTCTACCTCATATTAATGAGAAATTTAAAAACATAATAATTTAAGCAAGAATGAGAACATAAGTAATCAAGAAAATATATTTGAGAGAAAAACATTAAGTTCAATAGAAGTAAATAGTCTAAGTGTTGCACTGAGGGGCCGAGGAGGGAGTGGCAGGACAGAGAATGGAGGCAGCTATAGCCTCTGCTTTGTCAGAAGAACCGAGACATCCAAGAGACACCCTCTCTTCCACTAGATTGCCCCAACAAACCCAATCGAATAAAACAGAGATGATGGGTGCCACCAGGGGTGAACAAAGGGGCAATGAGGCTGCCTGCTTATGGTGCTCAGAGCACCCAGCCTCACCCAGAGAGTAGGTAAGTGTAAGACCCTGGGCCGCATGATTCCCTCTTGAACCTTTACCCTCACAGCTACACAAGAGCTCCTGGATCCCCGGAGGCTCCACTTCTGTAATACTTTACTTAGGAGAGTGTTCTCCAAATCCATCAGTTGTTACAAAAGATAGGAAATCTCCATCTTTTCATGGCTTAATAGTATTCAACTGTTTATTAATTCATTCCTGTGTCTAAGGGCATTTGGGTTGTTTTTCAACAACTCGATGCCAACTACAGGTACTGCTAATTCTTTCACAATCCTTGGATATTCTCTCCCCTTTGTGAACTGGTGTTGAGTGTGTGTGTGTGCATATGTTATTACTTTCTCTTTTTATTTTTCATTCTATTTGGGAGTTTGGAAAATGTCATTCATATATTCTTAAGTTGAGAGGTATTTTTCCTAAGTCATGTCTGGTCTATAAATAAGCACATTGAGGACAGCATTTTTCATCTCTGGCATTTGGGCCAAGTGAAATGACAAGTCATATAACTGTAAAATATATCTGCAAATCAAACATATGAAAAAGTTCTTTTATTATTAATATACAACCTAATTTGCAACTGCAGAAAATAAACCATTGAATTCAATAATAAATAGACAAAGAAATTTACAGAAACTTAATCTATATATATACACATATATGCATATTTATATCCAACTCAATTTTTCATTTGTGGAATGTATGTCCAAACAACAAAGACCTACCATTACTCATACATTAGAATAAGTAAAATACACAATCCTACAAAGGTGAGGAGTTGATTTGGGATGTGGAAAAGGAAAGTAGCTGGAGGAAGAAATTTGGAGGAACAAGAAGAAGCTTGTAAGGGAAATTTTCTTTCGTTCATCATCCTAATTGTGCACACCTGGTAACACTTAATAAACTGTGCATTTTACTCCTGTGACATTTAGAATGTGCCTGAATTCCTCAGTAAAGGGACTGAAAATAAATAAACACACAATTTGGTCCAAAACAACAAAGGGCTTTCCCTTTGATAATAATATGAGAAGTGTCTGAGATACATGAAAATGCATCTGTTTACCTTCACACTCATAAGGTAATAACAGGAGTGAATAGACATCAAGCCTATTCCCATAAAAGTAAGAGGGTCAGTGAGCATTTGGGTCCAGGCATGAGAAACACAGGCCCAGATATGTGGCTCATTCCACCCAGGTGAGAGCTCTGAACACAGAAAGACGATGTGAGCCTCTCTTTGAAACTGTGCATCTGTACATAGAAAACATCTGACAGTATATACTGTGTTTCCTCTGCATGTGCAAAAAAGAAAATGTTATCTGTAATAAGCTTTTATTTAATAGAGGCAATTTTTGTTGACCAATTATACCTCAATAAAACTGCTTTTAAAAGTAAAAATTTTCGAAATAAACATGTCAGATACACTATGCTTCTATCACAGCTCAATCTCATAATAATCAATCACAACTTTGCAAATCCTACAATTGTGAAGTATTTGCCCCGCATACCTCCACCTGCTGTGGGCTCTGCCCTCCCTCAGGGTCCCATCCCAGACCTCCTATATAGCAAGAGGACATGCAAATAGGGTCTCCCTCAGCTCATGAAAACCAGCCCAGCCCTGACCCTGTAGCTCTGGGAGAGGAGCCCCAGCCCCAGGACTTCCAGGTCTGCCCACTCGCTGGTCAGGACTGAACACAGACGGCGCACCATGGAGTCTGGGCTGATCTGGCTTCTCTTCGTTGCTCTGTTACAAGGTGATTCTCTGAGAACTGGAGACTTGGGGTGTGAGTGGATATTAAAGAGAGAACAGAGTGTGTGTGTGTAAGTTTCTGACTAGGTGTGTCTGTGTTTGCAGGTGTTCAGTGTGAGGTGCAGCTGGTGGAGTCAGGTGGAGGCTTGGTCCAGCCTGGGGCGTCCCTGAGACTCTCCTGTAAAGCCTCTGGATTCACCTTTGGTGATTACTGGATGGACTGGGTCCGCCAGGCTCCTGGGAAGGGGCTGGAGTGGGTCTCACGTATTAGTAGTAGTGGTGGTAGCACGTACTACCCCGACTCGGTGAAGGGCCGATTCACCATCTCCAGAGACAATGGCAAGAACACTCTGTATCTGCAAATGAACAACCTGAGGTCCGAGGACACTGCCCTGTATTACTGTGCGAGGGACACAGCGATGGGACTGCGGTGTGAGCCCAGACACGAACCTCCTGTGCGGCGTGGCCGCCAGGGGGCGCCCGGGACACAGGCGCGGAGTCACCCAGGGCAGGTGCAGCGGGTGCTCAGCCCTGGTTTCCTGTACGGTCGTGGCTTCCTCTCCATATAACAGTTTCCTTTGGAGGATTCTCAGGATTTTGTGCTTATTTCTGAAGGCTCTAAATTAGAAACATTATTGCCATAAAATAAAAACATTGTCACCTGTATAACTGGCAGAAGGTGGCATACTTTTGCTTTCTACTTTCCCTAAACATGTTAGTTCTCAACACGTCTCAGCATCTCTGCTAAATCTATTACAAATGCTCTGATGAATGTTTAATTTTTAAAAAGTCACCTCAGAGAAAATTTTCATTATCCTCCCTTCCAGAGTCAGTCAGTTTCCCTCATTTTAATAACTATTGGCCTTCTGTATTTCTTCTTTGTGTCATTCATCACAGTT